AGCATTTATTTATGCTTCTTCGTGCTGGGGACAGAACAAGAGCTGCATATGTGGAGCCCACGCTCTGACACTATGCCACATCCCCATCTTCGGTGGGGAATGCTTCAAGTGCCTATAAGCTCGTTTACTTAGACCCAGCAAAAAGGAAGTCAGGGGTACCAGACAAGTCAAGCTCTCCTATTTTATAGATGAGGAAACTGAGATGTACAGAGGGACTGTAACCGGCTCTAAGGCCCAGGGTGAGTACCAGCAGGTGGAGCTGGGGTGGCACCCAGCTGTCCCCTTTCCCACTCCCTCTCCCCAAGCAGCACTCACCTTGCGATTGGGGGTGGTAGAGGAGTGGGTCCGGCTCTGTTTCTGGGGGTTTCTCCCTGAATGGTTCAGCTGAGAGGGGTTCATGGGGACCCCAACAGGAGGGGGACCCAGCAGAGACTGGCGAGTGGCCTGGGGAAAGAACTGCTGCAAACTGGGTGGCCCCAGCTGGGGCGGTGTAATGCTGGGGGCTGTCAGGCTAGGGGTCGCCATGTGGTAGCTGCGGAGGCTGCCTGCAGGCAGGAAAGGAAAGAAGAGGGTCTCACCATGGCTGGGTGGTAGAGGTTAGGGTCAGGGATCATCCCCCAAAGCATCATGGGAATATCACAGCTAATCTTCAAGAGGGCTCTTCCCACCCCAGGGCTGCCAGAGTTCAGAGAAGAGAGACACGGTCTCAATCCCACCATGGGTGTTGGTGCTGAAGGAGGCAGTGCGGGCTGGCTTTCTACTCCAGCTTGTGGGGTGGGGCTGCCAAAAAGGCACAAGCTCCCAGGTGCCTCCTCAGAAGGTCCTGAGCAACCCAGCAAATCCACTCACCCTCCAGCATGCCTTAGAGTTCACCGTAGCTACATAACAGACCCCAGCGCAGGACCCACAGGAAGAAGCAGAGAGATTCCCATCCTACCCCATAGCACCCCTTCCTCCAAGACCCACTATAAGCCAGGCACTGTCCTAAGCCCTTCCCATCACTGCCTCTGGCACCTGGCCTGCCAAGCATCAGACAAGACAGCATCATCTCTACTGGTGACAAAACAGAGACACAAACCAGGCACGGTGGAGCACACTTATAATCCCAGCACTCAGGAGACTGACCCAAGAGGATTGTCACAAGGCCAGCCTGGATTATGTAGTCAATTCAAGGCTAGCCTGGACTATCCAATGAGACCCTATCTCAAAACAAATAAAAAATGAATAAACCAGAGACACCAAGCGGAGGAACAGCTTACCCAGGGCCTCAGTGGGGGGCACCACTACCTGTCTGCTGGGTGCAGCCAGGATCTTGGGTACCCTTCTGCTTCCTCTTTTTCCTCACTCAAACCAGATCCATGACATCAGCAAGACATGGGCCGGGGAGATGGCTCAGTACAATAAGTGCTTGCCCGGCAAGCGCAAGGGCCTGAGTTCAATCCCCAGTTCCGCCAAAAAAAAAAAAAAGACTTACCTACCATGCCTGCACTTTAGCCACAGCTTTCACACATGATGCAAGCAGGCAAGGATCTTTCTAAAACCCTCTCCCTGTCTCAGAAAAGCAAAAATATACCTGCGTGCCTGGTATATTGTGCTCAGTGAACATGAAGTCAAAACATACATACACACACGTGCACAGAGAGCCAACCAGCTCTCAAAAACAAGAAGACAAAAGATGGAATGCTCTCAAAGAAACAAAGGACAAAGGACATGGACAAGTCACAAAAAAAATACAAATGTTCTATAGATAAATATAAAAATGTTCAACAGCACTAACACTCCAGGAAATGTAAATTAAAACACTGATGACACAGCACTTTTTTTGCCAACCAACTTAGCAAATTATACAGATATATATATTTATTTATTCATAAATATAAAAAGCAAGCATATAATACCCATTGTTGCTGTGGGCATGGTGAGACCGGCACTGTCATACGTGGCTGGCGGCATTGCAAACTGGTCCAGTCCTTTAGAAAAGCAATTTGGTGATACTTATCAAGAGCCATAAATCATCCAACCCTTGATTCAGTCACTCTGTTTTGAGAAATCTGGTCTAAGAAAATAGTCTCGAACATTATATTTATCATATTATTTAAAACAGAGAAAGAAAAAAAAAAAGAAGGAAAAGGAACAGCTGAGAAGGTTTAGGTAAACAAGGGCACATCCCTGCAATTAAACATAATCTCAGGGCTGGGGAGATAGCTCGGCCGTCTAAGCACCTGCCTGGCAAGTGCAAGGACCTAGGTTCAATCCCTAGCACCAACCGGAAGCTGTGCGGGCCACCAAAAGCAGGCATGGCGATGCACACCTGTAATGCCAGTGTTGGGGAGGCTAAGACAGGAGGATCGTTACAAGCTCAAGCTGCGTAGTGAAACCTTGTACCTAATAAATAAATAGAAGATTTTTTAAAAATTAAAGAAAAACATAACCTCGACAGAGACTGTCAAACCACGTAGTAAACCATCAGGCCCCTCTGCTCAGTGGAAAAGAAAGAAGGCAACCTCTCACTTAAAGCAACCCCAATAATCATATATAGCTCCCCAAGTCTTTGCCTAGAAAAAATTGGAGGAAATATACCAAAATAATGGATGGGGATTTTCTTTAGGAAGTGATTCTATAGATAATTTTGCTTTTCCAATCTTTGATGAATGTGACTTTTTTTTAATTTATTTGTGCGTGTGTGTGTGTGTGTGTGTGTGTGGCCAGCTCAGCCCAGCAGGGGGCAGGGCTGGCTGGCATGTGGTGCTGGGGGATTGAACCGCGGTCCCTGTGCTTTGCTAAGCTTGTTTTAAGTAGGTGCTTTAGACCACTGAGCCATCTCACCAGCCCCGAATGTGACTTCTGACAAAAGGAGATATTTGCATATGTGGATTTTGGGAGTGCTTTCTCTCTACATCCATTCACATACAGTTAGTAAATTAGCCCCCAGGATTATCCACACTCACGTGGCCCTGGCAAAATGATGACCATTGGATGAACTCCCACCTGCCAGTGACTTTGGGCACATGATCTCTCTCTGGGCCTTGGTTATTTTGGTAGCTTGGTTTGGTTCATTTTGGTTTGGTTTTTTGAGACTGGGTCACTTGAGTGCTGGGATCACAGGTGTAAACCACCACACCCAGTATTCAAATGGCATCTACTCTGGTTTTTTTTTGTTTGTTTGTTTTTTATTTGTGTGTGTGTGTGTGTGTGTGGCCAGCTCAGCCCACCAGGGGGCGGGGCTGGCTGGTGTGTGGTGCTGGGGGATTGAACCGTAGTCCCTGTGCTTTGCTGAGCTTGTTCTAAGTAGGTGCTTTAGACCACTGAGCCACCTCACCAGCCCCACAAATGGCATCTACTCTGAATGTGAGTATGGGCTGCCATGCAATGTCCAAAACACCAGCTCATTCCCGAGGGCACCTGCAGTCAGCTGAGTAGCTTGGGGATTTTCACATTCTTCAGCCCCAGTGTCCAAAGGAAAGCAATGGGGGTGCCTGGAAGCCGGCCCAAGCATGGGGTTCATACCTTGCAACTGCTGCAAAAGCAAAGCTCTTTGCAGCATGGAGCCATTGAGGAGGGACGTGGCTTGGAGGTTCAGGAGCTGCTGCTGGGGCTGCTGCTGGGGGAGGCCGCTGTGTGGGGAAAGTGGCCTTGAAGGATTATTAGGAAAGTCAGACCCTACCCTCTTGGGACACTCGGTACCACTTAGCCTCCACTCCATGCCACTCCATTTCTACAGCAGAGGACCCCTCTCCCAGGGTGGCAATAATGAGATCTAGGCCTCATACCAGGACTAGGATGGGGTGTGCCTCCCACACATGGGTTTCTGGGGTGGAGTGAAGCCAGCACCCACCCAAGCTAGCACTCACCGGCTCACAGCCATGGGCAGCGGAGCCTGGGGCGGGGACTGCTGCTGGAGCAGCTGCTGGAGTTGCAACAGCTGCTGCTGCTGTAGCTGCTGCTGGTGGCTGAACATAGTAGCTGAGGAAGCAAGGTGAGTGAGGCCCAGGTCCCCTGCCCTTCACAGTCACCCACTCCAGCCTGCAGCCTCTGATGCTGCCCGCTAAGCCACACCACATTCGCACCCAGGGCCCTCCGCTGCCAAGTGCCCTCAATCTTGCCTCCATCCCTGCATCCCTGCATCACCTCCCGGCCCCACCTCCTGGCTCCCAGGCACCCTGCCCCTGCCCCTCACACCTCTAGCGGGCACCAACATCCTGCTCTTTGCGCCCGGGCTATGTCAATAACAGCAGCACGGGACTATGTCCTGGCGCCGCCCCCGCCCCCGCAAACTCGCCAGTCTTACCCACCGCTCCGTGCCCGGAAGCCCTCAGCCTCCTCGCGAGTGGCTCCAAACCTTGCAGCTCCCTTCACCCCCTACCGCGCACGATTCCCGCCGTGAGCCCCGTAGCTCCCCCGACCCCAGCAATCGCGAGCCCTACACAGAAGGGCGGGTCTTGCGCCAGCCACGCGCGAGCCCAGAGGCTCCGGATCTGGGCGCCGGGCCTGGACACTCCGAAGGTCGACCGCGGCGGGCCGGAGAGCGCCCCCAGGAGGATGGGAGGTCTGCGGCCGCGGCCCGCGCTCGGTCCGCTTCCGGGCTCACCTAGCCCGCGCAGCGGCAGCCTCGGGGACCGCAGGCGTGTGTCGGGGTTCCTGGCGGCGCGGAGCCTCGGACCCGCGTCCTCCGCCTCGGCAAGGGAGACCGTGAGCCCTGGGTCTGTCTTAGCCTAGAGGGGTCTGTCGTCCGGCGGGGCCAATGCGGGGGGCTTCCAGGAGGACCGGTCCCCAACCGACCACCCCGAGTCTGCCTCGGTCCCGCGATCCTGACTCCGCGTGGGCTGGGGTGGGAGGGGGCGTGGGGGCGGCCGTGCACGTTCTGTGACCCCGCAGAGCAGCGAGCGGCCAGGGTCTCACAGCTGGGGAGGAGGAAACACCCGCAAGGAGAAGCGGAGACGATTAAAGTTTGTTTTCTTTTGTTTTTCTAATAGATTTGGCCTGAGGGATGGGATGAGAATTCAGTTAAATAAATCTGCCCTGCGGGGCGTAGTGGCGCAGACTTGTAATCGCAACGCTAGCGAGGCTGATGCAGGAGCAGCACCGCTAGTTTATGGAGAGCCTGGGCTACACAGTGAGTTCAAAACCATGCTGAACTGCAAAGCCAGACCTTATCTTAAAAAAAAGAAGAAAGAAGAGGAAAAGCCTCTCTTAACAACCACTCTGTCCTCCAACTTGGTGCCTACACAATCTTTGCTTACTAGGTAGTCGTTCTTTTTTCCTTTTCTCTTAAAGCCGTCCTCTGCCGGGGGCCCGCTGCTCCAGGGGCCTTGCAAGCCGATTGTGCGCGCACTGGACGCAAGGTGGCGCTAGGGATCCAGACACGAGGCGGGCGGCAGTGACCA